TTTCCTGAAAACCAACACACGGAGAAAGCTCCGCCCCCTCATTTGAATATTGGATCATGAAATAAAATTACATGAAAAAGTCAATCAGCCTGAAATAGTAAACCTGCATGAAATGAAAAGGGAGTTCAAAATAAAAGTCCCTGAAACATGTAAAGGAGCTTTATAAAATAAAACGGTCACAAAGGGGAACTCTTTAAGAAAAGAAACTCTCTAGTCTTTGTTTATTAAAATAATCTTATTTAAACTCTTCTTCAACTCTGGTAGTGACTCAAAATAATCTTAAAAAAACCCCATCAGATTCTTCTCTAATTATTCTAGCATCACTCTGTTTACATGCAGACATTCCCCTTTGACATCACTTCCTGTTTCTTCACATGCAAATATCTCAACAACTGTTCATCTCAACGACGTGAAATTTGTTTTGCAACGTGTTATCAATGTTCTCTTTCCAATGACGCGTTCACATTTATTACAAAAATTTGATGTCACGGGCACTTTAAGCAGCATTAGTGAAATGTGTTCCTCAGAACCAGAACTTGTTTTTGACACAGTGACCTCTGAAGGCCCGAAGATCACAACCGTCTAATCTTGACTTTCAGCCCTTAGCTCAGAGATTTACACAGATTCTTCTAATCTGATGATGAGATGATGAACTATTGACGATGGGAGGTTATCCCAACATTGTTTTTCACACACCGGTGAATCTCTGCACCTCTAAAACACTCTTTTTCCTCACTGTTTCTGATTCCTACCTCCTACTTTTACAACCTTTCGTTGMTCCAGAAACAACTTTTTTAAAAGATGTGTTGCCTTAAAAATCAGAGTTCACTAATTTTCCTGCCAAACGGAACAAATTTTTAGTTTCACCGTGTTCACTGCGTTCTGCTGTGAAAAAAAAAAGGGTTTATGAGATTTGAAAATCGTCTTGTTCAGATTTTATTTGAATTTTACTCGACGTCTTCAGAGTTGTGTTTGGGTGCGATGTGGTGGAAATCTCACCTCAAAATAAAGTGTTGAGCAGAATGAATGAGTAGATGGAGCTGATGGAAGGTGTGTGTGTGTGTGTGTGTGTGTGTCTGTGTGTGTGTGTGTGTGTGTGTGTGTGTGTGTGTGTGTGTGTGTGT